TAATTACAGGTAAATCAATATAGATGCATTGTGAGGGGTTCCCAACAACTGTTTACTAGTGAGGAGCATGATCTGAAGGCCCAGATTAGGTCAGTGGTAGAGACAATGCAGAAGAAAGCATAGATGCAAGGATCACTCTCCAGGTGGAGGGAGAAGCTTGCCTAATGATGATTTTGACAACTAGCTGTGGAATGAGATGAGAACAATGAAGTCTGGAATTAATAGCTTCTTAATGTGCAGGTTATTAGGACTCCTTGATCAAGAAATCAGATAGTTTTTCTATTTCCTTCTTTTAACAAATTGTTACCATGAGTCTAGTGAATGAATACAAATGGGCACACCTTTATTTGCACAAGACAATTAGGACACATTAATTAGCTTCATCTGGTGCCTAAAGCTGAATTTAAGTATTTTTCTGGTACATTCCAAAACTAAGTCAGATGCGTTAAACTCTAGGAAAATTCAGTTAGTCTGACCTTGTTCCTTACAGGACAACAAACACCAAAGGTAGTTTAAAAACAGCCAATTCTTCACTTTAAGAAAAGTTTTTACTTTGACTTCATTCACATAGTGAACTTCCCTACTACATTACAATATGATTCAACTTAAAATATTGTAATTTGCATGAAACTCTTCAGAGGCAGATTCTGACAGATCCTTCACTATTGAGTCTCAAGGTATGAATAAATTTAGGATTCTAGTTTAACTGGAATCAGAGGATACCAAAAACTATGCTCACTAGGGACACCAGTTGAAGTCACCTGTTTCTCTTCCAAGGTATGACATACATATATTGCAAAACATGGCTTATAAAAGAAAAGCTAACAGAATATTTAAACTGTCAGTTGAAAGAACTAGGTGGCCATGGTACCAGAAAATAAAGTGCATTAATTCTAGGAACGACATAGAATGTTTTTGACAACAGGAGAAAAAGCCTATGTATGTACAAAGCCTGCTTCAATGGTTTTTCACTGAATATCAGAATAAAATTTAAGAAGTCTGCCTTGTTTCTTACTTCCTCCATAATCTGAGTCTGATTCCATCCAAAACATGAAATGTTACGTTAAAATTAACACATAGCCCTAAATATCTGCTTCTTAGTACCTCATACTCCTCACCCCATGCAATTATGGGTTTTCGTCATCAGTGCCTGAGAATACTGCCTTGGGCTCAAACAGTTGCATGGTTTCAGCACATGAAACAGCTTAGACTCTTGGAAGCCTGCACGTGACCTCTTTGCATGGAGACACATCAATTCCCTGCAGCTAACACTACAAGTCCATCCATAAGATGCTTCATAGGACGCTCCTCCAGAGCTATTTTGAGGATTTTCCAATTAGGCTTTAAAGTCACTGTTGCTCAAGGTACTGGAGTCCACCTCCTCTGTCTTTCTTATCACAACGTCAAAGAAGAGTTTGTAATGTTGTCATATTTTAGAATGACTCTTCTCTCCAGGCTTTTAAAAATCAATTACAAAAGGCTCTAATGAAGTGTCATTGCAAAGGAAAAGTAAGAGATCAAGACACATTCACCCTTAATTTTGTCCAAGAATTATGCCTGTAGCAACAATATTAACATTGTTTTCTACCTGATGTCTTTGACTTTCTTTGAGAAAGCTGGGATCGAAGCTGGGGTTATCTACTTTTGAGGCTCAATGGAAAGGGAAGAGTACAAAACAGTGGAAAAAACCTTAATGTGATAGCAATTTGCCCTCTTGTAGTCTATTTATTGAGTTCTCATATGGCTGTGCCGCACCACATCTGAAATGAATCTGGAAAGGGAAAGAGAGGGTATTTCTTATCCCTCCAGACTTTCTTATCCTTGAAACAGGTAGGAAAAGAGGGAATTTTCTTCTGTCTTTCTTAGAGATATAATATCTTGACCACTGGTAAACAAACACAATCTGGTTAACACTCCCTTCTTTTTATTTTAGGAAACAAATAACAAAGCGTAGGAAGAAAAACTAGATGGATCCATTCCAGTACCGCTATTCCTAGAGCACTGAGTAGAAGCCAATCTCCTCTACATGAGAAAAGAGGAAGAAATTTCCCCCTCAATATATTACATGAGCAAAATTATATCAAGTCATACATTGAAGAAAATAATATATCATGATTAAACTGGGATAAATTCCAGGAATGTGTGAGTGGGTCAATATGAAGAAATCTATTAATATAACTGATCATATTAATAAAGATAAAGAGAAAACCCTTGATCATCTTCATAGATGCAGAAAATGTATTTGATGATTTTCAACTTTTAACACATATTTATATCAAAACACTCAGCAAAACACATACCAACACACATATAAAGTTAAACAGAAAAAGTAATTAAAGGCATGAGATTTAGAATAAAATAGGTAAAACTATATATATTTGCAGTTAATATGAGTTTACATTTAAAACATTTACAAGAATTAATTGAACATTGCTAAAAATAATAAAATAATTTAGTAAAATAGCAAGTTACATAATCAATAATCAATAACTATACATATACATATGAAGCAAATGGAAAATATAATAGACCTATTTATAATCTCACAAATTAATATAATACATAAGAAAGTAAAACAACTAGGCATAAAATTGAACTTTAAAATCTAAGATCTCTTGAAATATGTGAATTAGACCTAAACACAAATGAAGATATTGCACGTCTATTTTCCCACTAGACTACTTTTGAGAATATGGCCCACTTCTCATACACCTCTACCCACTGGGTCTGGACACAGCCGGCTTGAGAACACCGTAAGTGCTTCATAAATGTTGTTGGATAAATGAATGACTGGATGTTTACGTGTAAATACTTCAGCATTGAATTATGTGAAAAATGTCAAGTGATTAAAGTTTTATATACCATAGGAAAGCCTGACCTGTGTCATTGGGTTTTCCTCGAGACACGGAATTAGTTCTTTCCAATCTGCACAAATATATCACACTTGGAAAAAAAAATGGAGTTTTACAAATTATACATATTTTGCATAATTATATATTAATTGAGCATGTTACTCAATAAGTTCTCCCCTTATATAAAGGTTTTACTGTAAATTTCTTTTAAATAGTGAGTAGCTCTAGTAACCCACTCTAGTAACTTCTAAATAGTGAGTAACTCTAGTAAGAATAAAATATTTCTCAATTGAATAATAAAATTAAACCTGGTTTACACCCACCTTTCTGGTTCGATGATAGAAGGATGCACGCTCACTGAGACAGATGCAACTCTAAGACATCGAGACCTAATTTTTCAGGTTGCCCTGGTCAAAACTTCATAAGAGAATTGTGATCTGGCTGTGGTTCATTGTCAATGAATTTCAAGCTTCTTTAGTGGTTATTTAAGGAGGTAATTAAGGTTAAATGAGGTCACAAGGATGGGCCCTAATTAGATAGGCCTGGTGTTCTTAAAAGAAGAGACAGCAGGGATCTCTCCCTGGCATGCACAAAGAAATGTGAGGATACAGCAAGCAGGCAGCACCTGCAAGCCAAGAAGAGGACTCTCACCAGAAACAAACATTGTAGACACCTTGATCTTGGACTTCCAGCCTCCAGAACTGTGAGCTGTTTAAGCCACCCAGTCTGTGGTATTTTGTTATGGCAAGCCAAGCAGAATAATACAGATTTTGTCCCCATATTACCAGAAAACCCCTCTTACTATAAGATTAATTTTGATCTTTTTCATATTTCACAAATATTTGTGATCAAAGCTTTAGTTTCACATTCCAGAAATACAAAGCTGAATGATGTCTCTGCCTTAGAGTGTATACCTAGACCAAAGATAACAGATACAGGGATCTTAGCAGCTTCCACCTGCTCCCATGTCCTAACTGCTATTGATGACAATGATATCTCCCAATGAAACTTAAACATCAGAATCCTACTAAACACAGAATAACTACCAAAGAATCAGCTTTAAGAATGCTCCAGGAGAAACTTGTTAGGTAGCCTTGGTCCAGTGCTGTAAGCAGAGAAGCCTGGAAAGTGAAATGGCTTGCTACACTAACCACACACTCAAACTGAAAGGAAAAAAAATCACGAAAATCATAAAAGAAAATCTGTATGTGCATTTGTGTGCACAGAACAATAAAGAAGCTAGGTAGCTCTTGAGAATAGAATTCTAACTTTTTGTATATTTATAGTTACCATATAATTTCTAAAATTTCAACAGCTGTCAGATTTTACTTTGTTTTCAAACTGTGAGACAGTTTCAGAGGCTTATTTCATGAGCTTGCTGATTTCACAGTCACTCAACATTTACCTTCATTTATCCACGTTTAACTCAACAGGGCAAATTCAAATGTGGCCAGATAACATGCATTAAATTTAACTTTCACCACTCACTCACCCATCTATTCTTTTCCCAGAAAGTTGCTGAAAATCCAAGAGAACAGAAAACATTCAGCCTTATGTTTATTTAAACCAATTCAGAATATTTGTAATTCTTTCACTAATTACTCTTGCTTCTCATTTCTAAGTGGCTAAAAATGGCTTCTTTGTCATTTCTTCTGTGTTTTTCAAAAAGAAATTTCTGGCTTTTTCTCAACGAGAAAAATTTTACCTTATGAAACATGCATGAGATCAACAAAAGACAATTAAAAATATAAAGACTATTCCCATCTTTTTTACTACTATCAATAGCAATATGTCATAGATCTACCTGAACCCAACAATGGATATAAATTATTACATTTTTCTGGCATCTTGCTTTGAACAATGAAAGCTAATATGAAAATATTATAATAAATTGCTTTATCTGGATTTAGTGTAAACCCTGACAATTTTTTTTTTCTTTTTTGTAATGCAAGTGCCTGACTTAAGCTTTGATTGCAGAGACATCCATTTCAAAGAGGCATTCACTTCAAAGAGGGCTTTCTCAAATGAACACTTCGGCAGCCAAACTGGATAGAGACCCAGGCTGCCTCCCACACTGAGGCTCCTTTGTTTTGGAGATCTTGGTTGACTTCAGTAACTGACCATTCAGGCTACTTTTTTTCCTCTTCCCTCACTTTAAATTCATGCTCTTCTGTTTTAAATTCACCAATAAAGAGTAAGCCCTCAAAATCCTAGGCCCCCACCCCCATAAAAGCAGGACCCAGGCCTGTGCACTCTCTCTCTATCCTCACGGCCTTGCTATGTGGCCCCCGGTGTGCTGTGCAACTTCCAGGTCTGGTGAGTAATAAACTTTTACATCTTCTAAGTTTCCTGATGGTTATTGCTGAAGGGCATCTTGCAATCGTAATAAGAACAGCAAGAGCTGGTCCAACCGCAATATGGGTTATTGATAGGCTGAGACTGGCACAAAACACTGGACAATTAGGAGTTATTTTTCTTTCTCATCAGACTATTATAAATAACTCCACAGGACTGGCTAGGATGCTTCTACAGCAAAAAAGGAATGAAAACAAAATCTTGAATACATTGCTTCACTTTATTTCACAGGTTCATTTTTTTAAATTTTCAATTTATGTTGGCAATTATTGATTTATGTTTACTATTTTATATTGATGAAAATAGTAGAATGACAAAATTCTACATATGCTACGTAAACAAAGGACAAAAATAAAGGATCAACAAGAAGCAAATAACAAGTGAAAGAAAACAAATCTAGTAATGTTAATATCAGGCAGACTCTAATTCAAAATCTAAAAGAAAAAGCATAACATTTTATATTGATTAAAATAGCAATATTCCAAGAAGTTACAGTAGTCCCTCCTTATCTGGGAGGATGTGGTCCAAGGCCCCCAGTAGATGCCTGAAACCGTGCATAGCACTGAGCCCTATACATACCATGTTTTCTCCTATACATCCATAACTATGATTGTTTAATTTATAGACTATGCTCAATAAGAGATTAACAACAATAACTATTAATAAAAGAGAACAATTATACAATGTGCTGTAATAAAAGTTACCATCTATCTTAGCAACCTCAGGATATGAGTTTTTTTCTTTTCTTATTAAGTCGAGAACTTTCACCTTTTCACTTAAAGGAAGCACTTTACGGTTTCTCTTTGGCACATCCAAATTGCCAGCATCATGACTCTTGCACTTTGGAGCCATGATTAAGTAAAACAAGGATGGCTTGAACACAAGCACTGCGATACCCTGACAGTCCATCTGATAACCTAGTGCCTTACGGGTGGGTAGTGTACACAGTGTGGATCCACAGGACAAAGGGATGATTCATGTACCCAGTGGGATGGAGCAGGATGGCTCTAGATGTCATCGTGCTACTCAGAACAGTGTGCACCTTAAAACATATGAATTGTTTATTTCTGTCTTTCTGGAATTTTCCATTTAGTATTTTTGGACCGAAGTTGACTGTGGGTAACTGAAACTGCAGAAAGTGAAACAGTGGTTAAGGGAGGACCACTGTATATTGGTTATAACCTTTAATCAGTTAACAATGTAAGATTAAAATATTGAAGACAAAATTTGAGAGAAATGCAAGGAGAATTTGAAAAAAGCACAACATTCTATCTTGGAAACTTAGGAATAAACTAAGCAAATATGTGTGAGAATATTGAGGATTTGAAAAATGCTTCTACATAGGTAAGTAAATATCACATATATCATTTTATATTCGGTAACTTGAGAACAAAGTCCACTCATATACACACAGATTATTGAGAAAATGATCACTTATCGTTCCTGAAACCCAAAAAAAGCAGAAAATTACACAGGCTGCCATCGCTGGGTCATATGCAATAAAACTTGAATATAATAAAAAAGCAGGAAAATAATATTTCAAAATTTATAAACACACATTTCTAAATAGCTTTTTTTAGCAAATTCAATTGAGATATTAAAAGTTATTTATAAATAAACGAAAAGTAGAACACTACATCTCCAAATCCACAGAATGTTGTCAAAGCAGCGCCTAGTGGAAGCATTATAATTACAGATGCTCTTATTACAAAACAAAAAGAATGAAAGGAACTAAGACAACATAAAAAGCTAGAACATAACATTAATAAACAAAAGAAATAGTATTTTTTTGTAGAAATTGATTTTAATTTTATGTGGAAATTCCATGGGCCTGGGAAACCTAAGATGTCTTTGAACAAACAAAAACAAAATTGCAATACTTAGCAAATATCAAGACTTATTAAAAGGCAAGTCCAAATAAAACAATATGGCCTTGATTCAAACATAGACAAATAGTTAACAGAATAGAATAGAAATCAAGATATCGCATACACACACAGGATTTATGACAAAGGTGACACTTGAGAGCAATCAGTGAAGGATGATCTTTTCAATACACCGATCCTTTCCATTGCATGTCCATATGGGTAAGACAAAGAAACAAAAAAGAATCTTGGTCTCTATCCCAAATCATAAAAAAAAATCGATTCCAAGTGAATTACAGATCTGAAAGTGAAACGTAAAACAATGAGTCTTCCAGAAGATAACACAGGAGAATATCTTCGTGATTTGGGGCAGCCAAAACTTCCTTAAAGAGGTCATGAAAACCAGTAACCATAGAATAAAAAGATGGATAACATTCAAATTAAGAAGGTCTATTATTAAAATACACCATTAAGAGTGTAAAACAGCAAGTACAGGCTAGAGAAGAGATTTGTCATGCGCATGACCGAAAAAGACATAGTACCCAAAATGTATACTGTGGATCTCACACACATCAATTAGGGAATATATTGCAATGCATCTACAACATTTGGAAAACCACTCTTCCATTTCATTTTGCATATTAAGATCACAAAAGCAAATCAAAACTCATAACCAGGAGGTGTGTCCTTGGGTCATCATTGGCTAAAAAGCCAATAGCTCTCCCAGATGCTTTTTTGTAAAAATTTCACGTGAGAGCTGTAAGTCACCAGTTGACTTAAAGAAGACATTGTTTGCAAGTTTGCAGATAAAATCTAATTTATGTTCTTTAAAGCTTGCTCTGTCTAGCTGCTCTGTAGGGAGAGGATCTCGGGGGTCAAGGGCAGGAGCAGGGAGAGCAGGTGGGGCCATGCAGTGAGAGATGATGGTTCCCGGAGAGGGAGTAGTGGAGGGGGAGGTGGGGAGCAGTGGTCAGATTTGGTCAATACATTTAGGAAGAGTGGACAGGATTGATGAGATGCTGGATGTCGGGGAAAACAAGGCTATTTAACACAGCACAGGCATTAGGGACACGTTGGCTGTCTCCTCCCTGCATTTTATTTTGAAAATTTTCAAATTGTCATCAAAGTTGAATTAATTTTCCAGTGAATCCCCATAGAATCTAAACCTAGCTTCTGCCATTAACATTTTGCTATATTTGTTTATTAAATACTCATACACATATCCACCTGTATGCTTCCATCAAACCATTTTTATGCATTTCAAAGCAAATTGCAGACATTAGTACATATCTTACTAAATACTTGTGTATGAATACCATTAACTGGATTTCAATATTTGTTTATAGTTTTATATGCAATCTACATGCAATGAAATGCATAAATTGTAAGTGCATATTTGCTGAATTTTGGCAAATACTTACATCTGGGAAAACATTAATTTTATCCAAAAGGATGTTGAGATGCTGCATTCACTATGAGGGCAACAGCTCGTATTAAGTCTCAAAGCTTGTATTAACTGCTCAAAGCCATGTCGACACGCCGACAGGGCCAGCTGGAATCAATGTGTGAGGAAAGCGTATCTAAAATTCAGTAGTTTAAACAGCCATCTGACAGCGCTGTTTTTATTAGAACAACAGATGTAATGGCTTTTTTAAAAGTAGGATTCCATATGGAAAAGATAAGTTTGTTAATTTGTTTTACCTATTGTTTCTCAATATGCTTAGCCTGTACAAGTATTATTAAAACACAGGTTAATGAGACATGCCTTAAGACTTTAAAGAAAGTCAGTAGTTTTGGCTAAACTTAATTCCGTAAATCATAATGTTATAATATTTGCACAATAAAATCATTGCCTGCATATAGGTAACATATAACTACACTATGCCAAAAGATATAAATAAATCTCAGAATGCTAACACGGTTAAAGGATTAGTCAATTATATTATACAATATAGGTTTATTTTTTGGGTGCCCCACTTAATTTTGAAAGTATACCTAATTAAAGTAGCACTATAAAAAAAGCCCAATGCAGTTTCTCCTCAATAAGCAAGCACCTTAAAAATTATTTATGTAACTTAAATGCAATCGCTGGTAACTCTCTTTGCAGCAGGCCGCAATACACAGCTCATTGTTTTTACACATGCTAGTAAATAGATATCTAAGAACAAAAGCCTCTTTTAAAAAAATTAAAAATAATTTGGTCTCCATTTGCCATCAAATCACAGAGAAAGAGAGACTTCATGCTACTTCTTGAAAAAATAATTTTTTTGGCCTCAGCTCTAATAGAAGCAGTTTGTTATAAATGGGGTTATTGATTCCAAGTTCAGAGGCTCATCTGAGAAGTTTGTCATCAGTAAGTATTTAAAAACAAACAAACAAACAAACAAAATAAGTTTTTACTTTTCCTCCTGTTTGGTGCAGAGAACTGTTTGATTTGACCCAGCTACCCTTAAAGTTCTCCTTTCTGCATCTGTTCAGGCCTAATGGGCTGAGTCCACCCAGTTACAACTAGATAAAGGGGATCCAGGGGTAATCTGACTGTAATTCACCCGTGCATTACTACTGCTAAATCTTTAGTGTTCTGCTTCCTGTTTCTTTTTGTGGATATTTTTAATCTATTTTACTGTCTAGACTTGAGATTTATAAAAAGCATGGTTTTAAATTTTGTAGGACTGCCATGGTGTTGTGATCTTGTAACAGAAAGTATTAACTCAATTAGCTGCCACTAGTGGTATTTTTTGGATGGCTAGGTCATTTACTTATTTTTTTAAGATTTTATTTTTTTCCTTTTTCTCCCCAAAGCCCCCCAGTACATAGTTGCATATTCTTCGTTGTGGGTCCTTCCAGTTGTAGCATGTGGGACGCCACCTCAGTGTGGCTCAATGAGCAGCGCCATGTCCATGCCCAGGATTCGAACCAATGAAACACTGGGCCGCCTGCAGCGGAGCACGTGAACTCAACCACTCAGCCACCGGCCCAGCCCTGATGGCTAGGCTATTTTTGATTCTATATTTTAGATGTATAAAATGATGTTTAATATTATGGCAAGAAAATCCATATCCTTTTGTTAGGAAAAATGATGCTGGAAATTTTCAG